GGCAGGAGGGGCCCTTCCCTAAAAAGAGGGAGCAGGAGCCCTCAGGTGGGGGTGGGGCTTATCTGGGTGGCAGAGCGGTCTGGGGAGTTCCTCTGTCTCCGGACCTGCTGCCTGTGCGCCATCGGCCTTGCTCCGTGCTGTTTACATTGTGTGGAACACTGGCAGTGAGCCGCCAGACACAAAAGTACCAGTTTGTGCAAGATTACTCGACAGTCAGTGTCCCAAGTGCCAAGCAGGGAAAGCGCCTTTGCAGGCGGCCTACGTGCAGATACGCAGAACTGCAGCTTGCTGTTTTCTAGGCCTGGAAGGGAATGCTTTTCAGTTCCAGCCCACCATCCTTGTGTGCCCTTCCACTGGAGTCCTTCTAACAATTTCCAGCTCCTAGACCATGAGGTTTTAGACACTCATGGGCTTCTGTTTATATTATTCCTCTGCTCCACCTTGCCTGGCCATCTTACTCCAAGGCTGCAAAACTGTGTCCTGCCTGGAGCACGGTGTAGCCTGGAAAGTAGATTCAAAATCACAGCGCTCCTGTATGATGTTGAGCTTCCTCTGTGCACTGGAAGGTCTGCCCGGGGAGGCTCTGCATACCACACAGCAGTAAGTGGCTGCATTTAGGCAGCAGCTGTGCTTCTCAGCTAGGACCTAAATGGTCCATTTCTCCAAGGTCTTCGCCTCCCCCTACTATGTTTTTTGGCTTTATATTCCTACACGGTGTCCTTTTCTAAATCTCCATTTTTACACTAATTACACCGCCATCACTATTTAATTTTTGTTTTTATTTTTGATTGCTAAGGGTCTTGCTATACAGCTCAGACTCATAGTTATCCTTCTGTGTCAGCCTCCCCAGCCCTGGGATTATAGGTGTGCACCACCATGCCTGGTTTTGGGGCTGGTATAGCATGCGGTACCAGGGATCAAACACGAGACCTTACACCTGTCAGACAGGTGCTTAGACCACCATGCTATCTCCCAAGCCACCACCCTCCTTTTTTTTTTTTTTTTGAGACATGATCTTGTTATGTAGTCTAGGCTGGCCATGAATTTGTAATCTTCCTTCTTTGGACTTCCAAGTGTTGGGATTACAGGTATGTGTACCATGCTCAGCTTTGCAAATGGTTATTCACATTTAACTTGAGGGTGAGACCTGTGTCCTATTACTCTTTCTTGGCACTGTTTCTGGCTCAGGCAGCTGCTGTGACAATGAAGGAAAGAGCTGTGGGCTGGGAGGACTGTGCGTGAGCATCTTCAAGCTACTGATCCCCTGGACTG